TAGTTCCAAGCCCGGATGAGAAATGAGGAGGGTTGGTGAGGTTCTCGTACAACTTAGGCACTTTTCCCTCATAGCAGTGTCCTTATCGAATGTTATACCGGCTCCGCCGTCACTCGGGTTGCCAGAAGTCATGTACCAACTGAGTATCTGGGGAAGACTGCTAAATGCTGGCGATCAGAACCTGTTTCACGTTGTTTTAGAGGTGGAGGATGTACAAGAAGGACAGCGACTACTAAAGATGGGCACAAAGACCGCGCAAGCACCAGTTGGTAACGAAGTTGGCACACGTTAAAAAAGGAGGAGGTAGACACCGCGATGCCATTCGAGCACGTCAAATGAACTTTTATGGAACGATATTGACAGTGAGAATCCACTTTCGTGAACTGGAACATGCCCTCACTCACAGGGAAGTAACAGGAGCTAGTTGATGAGGCAGCAGGATGCTGACTCGATATGGACGGATTTTCATTTTCCCCGAAGAGCCAGGGCTGTGGAATGTTTGACATCTACGGGTGACAGCCATGCAATTCAAGTGTCGATTCCACGGCCCACTCTCAGGCCGGCGTTAATGCTATAATAAAACCAATCCTGACCGATACATTCATTGAATAAACACCTGTCAATGGAAGGGTGACAACCTGCGAACTGGTGTTGCGACAGCCTAATGCTCTGACTTGTTGCAGGTCTATGCGCCCAATTCAAGGGGGGGAATAAGAGTTCTTTTTGGATAAAGTAGAAGATGCTCTGAATAAAGTGACTACTGCGGAATCCTTCATTCTAAACGGCGATTTCAATGCGCAGTAAAAAGTGGAAGATATGATTGGACAGAACAGCATGAATTTGTTGCGGTTTTATGCAAACAATAGACTCTTATTTATGAACACCTTCTTGGACCATCGACATGTGTATCAGTATATGTGGTATATAGAAACTTATGCATAAGGGCCGAAGACGGATTTCATTATTGTAGTGTTTTGTCTGGCTTGTGATTCTCAGCAATGGATGCTCAGGTTAAGAGAGTTGCCGAATTATCGACCGATCATAATCTTGTTATTGACATTTTCTGTAAACAGTAAATGATGCAACAGCATGGAAGCAAAACAAAACAAATTGG